TGTTATACGTGTGCTTTATGTTACTCTATATTCATTTCTATAAAATTAATAAATTATTTGTATGCTATTATGTGTAAATACGTATGTGATGTGTCAGAAATTTTATTGCAAGACTCCTTTACAGGAGAGTGTTTAGGACTGTTTTGAACTACAGAAGTTCAGTGTTAAACTGTCCTTTCGATATGATGATGCACTGGAAAAAAAAAAAAGGTTCACAGCTTAGAGGTGAAGTTGGAATGTTTTTTTTTTATTGGCCACTGTTGTCCGTTGCACTAAATATTAAAAAAAAAAAAACAACTCGTGTGGGTTCCTGGATTATTGCTGTATGTCCTCTTATTCCCCTTAATATGTTCCACTGCTCTTGCTCATCCCCATGTAAGGATACCACTGGGTTACATCTTTATTGTTGCCTTGTTACTTTCAAGAGATTTAATATCTGCTAATTTGGGGTGCCATACAACTAGTGAAGATCCTAGGGAAGGTCTGCTCAAAAAATTACTTGACGCTCTCAGCTGCTGAAGGAGAAAAGTAAACCACATTTGAACAAGACTGCAGATGTTGTTTTAAGAGGAAAACAATGCCTTGGTTCTGTAATGAAAGTTTTTTCCAAAGGAATGTATTGTAGGCTTTGAAAGTACTGCACTTCTTACTGTTCTGTATTATTTAAATTTTGGCAAGAGCTTAGAAGCTAATGTGCATGCATTGATTTTTTTGTAATTTTTAGATCACTGCAAGGATAATGAGAAGTATAAATAACTTAGCCTCCTGGTATATTAAGTATATAGACACATCATCAACTGTAATTTAGAATTGTTTTTAGATTAAATCATTTTTACAAATAGTTATTTAATTTAGCAAGTTTGTCCTTGGGTTCAATAAAGTCATCTGTCATTTATAGCAGAACTGCTGCTTTTGGAAAAGGAAACATTTAACAACATTCAGTAAATCCTGAGAGTCTGTCAGCTTTTCTATTACATTCTTCAGCATGGCTTTTATTTAACAAAACACTGAAGCCATAGCTACCTTGTAGTCATCTCTTTCAGGTGTTCCTCAGTATTTGGAACCCTAGCTGTAGAGCATCTTTACTTAGATTGCAAATAATCAGGTGGAATTAGCCCAGTGCCTTTGCAGTAGCATGGATTAGTTCTTTGAGTAAGAGGTTTTTTGTTTTGCATTTTTGATTTTTGTAGACTACCCAAAGTTAATCTATTAAGAGAAGTACCTTGCTAAATAAGAGATGGGGATAAGGTTGCTCTGGAAAGTGAAAAAGGAATTGACCTGTTCCTCTTCAAAAGCAAACTGTTTTGTATTTTGCTATGACAGGTGCATTTCTGAAGTGAATGACATGCACAGTAGAAGATGATTACTTTTGATTAATAACCTTGGCATTAATGAAAGAAAAAGCAGCTCAACTTCTTCTGAATAAAAGAAAAAAAGCAGTGAGACATTTTGTCCAGGTTTTTTTTTTTTTTTTTTTAATAAAAAAAACTTAGATTCCAAAATCTTAGGTTCCAGTCATTTCTCTAATGACTTTTAAATACGTATCAGGATTTTTCTTGTTTCGCTGGTGTGCCATGACCTGAATGGTAACTGGGTTTGTTTGTTAGAACTTAGAGTCAAGGAATTGTAAAAGAAATGTTATTCATTATTTTGGTGTTGTAAACATTGCTTCTAAAGACATTATTTTCTCATCTTATTGTCTTATGTAGGCATGGAGCAATTCCATAATGACCATTGGAGAAATACCTGATGAATCAAATTTATGCATCTGAAAACATTATGATCAATTACTTCTGTTGGAGAAGTAACTGGTTTGTCTTTAGTCTTATCTGTAGTCATGTCTGAACAAACGTTTTCAAGTTTTGCTCATCTCTGCTTTCAGAATCAGTTGTTTGAGTTTCAGGAAAGATTTGCTTTTTTTTCTAAAGAGAGGCAAATTTCACATTTATCCTATAAACAGCTTTGAAAATACTCTGACATTTGTGGTTTTTTTCTAATTGTCTTGCTCATTCTGCTACAGGAGTTCTGTTTTCCTGGCTGTATTGCTTTGACTGATGATATCATGGTCTAAGCCTCTCTTTCACACTTGTTCCTTGGAGAAAGTACTGAAAGGGATGGGAGGAGGGTAGTCTCAGCCTTTCATCTTTATTTTCTGTTGTCAGTATTTCCAGTTTGGAAGTTTAGCACATTGGTCGTAATTATTTCATATTAGCATAGCAGCTACATAGGTTACCCCTGAAGTAGAATTTTATTCTGTTCAATTTCTATGCTACTTTCAGTTCTGAAATGTCTACTTGAAGTATATTAGGCACTTTGATTACCATTGATCATGTCTATCTTGAAATGAAGTTTACGTGAAGATCTTCCATGCTTTAATGTTATACCTGTTTATTGTCTTTTCATGGACTAGATTAAAGCATGTCTTGTAGCTGAAACAGTGTGAGTTCGAGATGTTATTTTAATCTGCAAGGGCAGCATCTCAAGTTTGAATTAACACTGGGAAGAGCTCTGATTCTTGCCCTTTTTCATAGAATGATTTGAGATGGTAGGGACCTTTAAAAATTGTCTAGTCCAACACCTCTGCAATGAACAGGGCTGGGGATTTTTGTGTCTGAGAGGTTGCTCTCAGGCAAAACTGAATGATGGTAACTTATAGAGGTAGATTTAATGTGCTGTGGGAGAAAAAATTCTCCCTGAAGGTGTGTGTTTGGCCCAGTCTGCTTTCTCTCATGAGAAGCTTAGAAGCAAGAATTCACAGCTGAGTAGAGAAGGAAGGAAAGAAAGTATGCGCATACTCAATCCCATCTATATTCAAAGTTACCATGAGCCCATCTGAATCCTTCTGGCATCATCTTCGTCTTTGCCCTTAGCTCTCCCCAAAACTCTCTCTGACAATTTGTCCGATCTTCATGTCGAAATCTATTACTCTGTTTCTAAAATTAGGAGAGCAAAGCACAATTTTGGATCTATAGTAAGGAACTTTCAGCAAACTCAAATTGTTGGCATTTGGGGTTGGTCTGGTACGAGCTGTCCTCCATAGTTGCTTGCTCTTCTGAGAAGCAGAGTTAGCCAGTGTGGCTCATTCAGTAAATAGAAAGCAAATAGTTTCTCTTGTACTGGAAGAGAGACAATCCTCTTTGTACAGAAGGATTCCCTGCAGCTAAGATTAAAAAGTAAGATTTCTTTTGGTTTTAAGTAGACATTTTTCTCCGTCCTCTGCAGTGAAGATTGTAGAAAAATACTCCCATGAATAGGGTAAAGAAAAACAAAGAGACATGGCCTAACAAAGCACAAATTTACCACAAGCTCATGTGTTAGATGCTGCTAAAGGACAGGATATGAAGACTGTTTCATAACTTGAGTGTTCCTGGAGCCATAACTGCTAGGACACATGTGGTTTGTTTGTAATGAGGGAGCACATTGGAATCATTTCAGGAAACGCTCATAATTGAGCTATTAATAAACAGAAATTACAGTCTAATTGGGCTAGATGTCTTTATAGCAACAGTCCTCCCCTCAGATAAGTCAACAGACTCAAAATGCCCTAATGCAGTATCAGTGCTGTATGAGTCAAACTTCAGTGTGGGGAGGCAGCTCCAAAAAAATTCTCAAGTTAAAAAAAAAAAAATAGAATCAAAGTAGTGATTTAGGTTGTAATGTTTTCAGTATGGCCTGGAGTTCTTAAAAGTTTCTTTGCGGAGAGTGCACTGATCTGTGGAAACACCTTTCTGAGCCCCAGTACCTTATCATATTGTCACCTCCAGTCTCCAAACACTCTTAACTGTGTTTGAAGGTGCCTGCACACTGCTTTGTTTAGACTTGCTGATTTGTGAAAAACTTAAAGCCTCTGTTTTGCTAGATTTACCCAGATTTGCCTGTATCACCAGATAAGCTTGTAAAAAAAATGCAGAACAAAGACACAATAGGGATTACCAAGGTAAATTTCTAATTATGTTTGGAAAAGAAGTTACAAAAGATAATGAAACCCAGTCCTTGGTTGCTGGCAGCTCAGTGACTGTGGTGTAAAGCTAGATGTTTTGCCCTGCACCGTTGACAGAATCTCTGGCCCAATCAGAGTTGCCTCTCTTGGGCTTGACCATTCACTGATTATTTTTACAGAATCCTTTTAATATGGACAGTGTATTTGGGGACTTAGCTGCTCACATCTTTAAAGACTCCAGGGTGTCTTCTGAACTGTTTGCTTTCCTGCCCTAGCAAACAGTATTTGTAGTAGCTTAAAACCAGCTTTTGTAGACTTGTCTGGCAAAAGTGGAAGCGTATGAAGTAATTTATGAGGACTGTTGCTGTGCAGAAGGTTTTGGCCTCTGTGCTTTGATTTGGTCTTAGCCATTTATGAATACCTTGAGTTATGCAGTGCCATCCAGACTGCCAGAGGGTGCCTAGCTCAGGCACCCTTCTCATTCCCTGTCTGGCTTAGAATTCCTGTGTCAAAGTGACCTGCTTGCTCTAGCTTTAGGATGAGAAAGATGTAGTACGTTTGTCTGTTGTCATGGTTAGTAAGCATCAACCCTGATTTTTTTTCAACAGTTGTTGACTGTTGGTAGAATTCTAGTGAGAACATTATAACATCAGTTTTAGAAATCGTCCAGCCTTTGGTGGTTTCAGAGGTGAAAGGACTAAATTATTTTAACAGAAAATGGAGGCACTATGCTCTAGTTAGGATACGCTATGTGTAAAAGCATATGCTTGGAAATGGTAGTTGAGAATCGGTTCAGAAATATTCAAACTTGGATTAAGAAATGTAAGTGCATTCTTCTAATGTGTGCTAAGTTTTCTTTTCACACTATGCAGCTCTTTGTAAAATTGATGGTAAGCATAAAGTGCTTTAAATGCACCCTATATTTCTGTTAAAACAGTTATCTTTAACTATAAGGACAGGCGTGATAAGTGAGGATAATCTTTCATCACAACTCTGTGCCATGTTCTAGTATGTGTTTAATTTTTTTTAGATATATGAATTATTTCATTTTACTTTTTAGCCTTGCTGATGCCTGGGAAAATGATTTTGGAGTTCATCCTTTAAAGTTTCCATCAGAAACATGTCTGGAATTACTTCTGATGCTGAGTTTGAGTACTGCTTCTTTACCCCCTTCAATTCAGCGCATGAACTCTTTTCAGGTAAGGAGCAGCTGCTGTTTCAGTATAATGGTGTTATTTTTAGGAAGAAGATAGATCCAAGAGGGTCTATAAATGCTTTCAGACTAAAAGTTTGTTTTCTGGAGTTGAGTAACTTTTCATTTTGTTATATACAGCAGTAGAGAATTTCTTTTCGTTCTCAGTTTTTCTTTTTTTTTTATTAGATATAGACTAAGGCAAGCAGTACCATTGTTTTATTAAACACTGAGTCACTGTTTAAATGTTTAAAGAAATGACATAAAATTTGCAAGCTTAATCTGGAATGGCTAGAATTATTCAACTCTCTTGAAATGCACCATTACATAAAATTATCTTGTCTTCAAAAATAAATAAATGAGGTCCTCAGCTAAAAATGAAGATATACAGTGGTGAAAACCAGTCTGAGCAATGGGACTAAATATGCAAGCCAGTGTATAAAATTAGCAGTGAAGCATTTGGAATTTCATCCTGTTTTCTGTTACTGCTACAGTTCTCACCAGTAGCAAATTTTCCTCAAAAATAATTGTTGCAGGCATGTTAAGTTGTGGTTTGTGTGGTCTTAGTATATTTCTAAACATGTACAAGTCTTACAACAGATAGCGGTATGTAAATTCATCTTCGTGCAACCTATGAACTCAGCTTCTTTTTTTTGTATGTGATATTGTCTCATGTATGTGTATATTCTGTATGAAAATGATACTTGTATTTGAACTGAAAATCATTGTTGAGTTGCTTGTTACCCATACGTGGCAGTCTTGTTCAAGAGGAGACTGGCTTCTAGGCTACTGAATACTGGATTCTGGTGCTAAGGGCACTTGCAGAGAAATGACCCATGGATGTGCCTGAGCTTTCTGCTTTCCTAAATGTTCCCACTCTTAGACACGTGCTGTTGAGCTAAATAGATCACTAGTTTCCACTCAGGCATGTTCTGACACAGCATTTTAAAATGAATCTAACAGGCAGCTGTGTGTGTTGTGATTTGAAAGTTACAGCTTAACTCCTGAGATCCCATTAGTAAGCTAATAATACATAGCTAAATGTACCAGCTGCTTATAACTGAGTAGGCAAAAATTATCCACACCCATGTGATGTTTGAGATTGTATTTACTCCATCTCTTGATGGTATTTCAGTGTTGCAGTTTTGACAAGCCAAAATCTTTAGTTGGTATACATTTGCAGTAGGTGTCGTTTAGGTTGTAAAACCCACTCAAAGTAAATGTGCTTAGTTGCTAATCATTTCTGTAATAAACTCTGTACTGCTTTGTAAAGCTGCAGAAATGCTTTCCAGGACAAGCTTAACAGACTCCATATCTGTGCTGAGACATAAATTACATTTTATTTTCAAACACTGTGCTACTGCTTAGTAACATAATATTTGAAATCCCTTTTCATTCCATTTTGATCTTGTGAAGACTTTTCACCGTGATTTACATCACTGGAGCAGCCTGGAAGAAAGAAGCAGCAGCAGGCTGTTCACAGTTCCCTGATTTTAAAGGGGTAGGGCAGTCACTGCAGCCAGCTTTTAGGGTGCCTGTTTCTGCTAGAACAGGCTGTTGATTCTAGATCCCAGAATGCCTTTGTCTCATCTCTCATTTTGCCTGTTCAGTGACAGTAACATTTTCTGGTAGACTGTAGAAAGTCAAATCTTAGGAAGCTTGAGCCCGGAAGCTTTTGAAGGACCAAAATGGTAGACAAGTTCATGTTTGTCAATGGCTGCCCCTCTGTTTTCTAAGAGAACTTTAATTTGCCATCCTCACTTGCAGCTTTGCAGACCTGAGGTCCTACTAGGGTGCCTAGAACCAGGGATTAAGATTGGCTGAGATATCTTGTATTTATCCTATTTATTTAGCAGTGCAGAAAGCAGTAAGAAGGGAATGAGGAACTGGCTACTTGAAATGATTCAAAATGTTCTTAGCTTGCTTTGATCTGAATCCTTTACATTATATTGAAAACTGTGTTAGCTTGCTCAGTTCTGGATCTCAATCTCTACCCGCCTGAGGTAGCATCTCTTGGCTTTAGGACTCATTGGACTTGACTTTATGTATTATCTAAAATACTTGCAGATGCTTGTAGCTAGCATCCCCACTTGAGTTATAATGTGCTTCATCACTGAACTGCTCAGTTGCTGCTTCTCAGTGTAGTCTGGGAAGATGCGTTGGTGCTTTAGAGTTTAAAACAAAAAGCAGTTAACACAGGGAAATGCTTTAAAGTGACATGTAATCTCTGCTGTGTTTTGCTAACCTTATCTTTCTCTGAATTCAAGCACAGTGAGCAGAAAATGTCTTGGATATTGAATTATTATGATGATACATGGGGCTGCTCAGCACATTCTCTCTCACTGGTGTTACTGTGGGAAGCTAAATGCCTGATTTCCCACATCAGGGCTACGTTCATAAGACTGTAGGCTGCAGCAAGAGTTCTCAGAGTTAAATAGATCACAGTTTCATTTTTATTGTCACAGTTGCATGAAACTGAAAGAAGATTAGACTTTAAAGATGGCAAAGCATTTTAAATTTTTGTTTGAAATAGTTGTTGATATTCTTCACTGCTGTGCCCAGTGTTACCATGAGTTATCAGCACACTGTGCTGGAACTGTTTTGCTTCCAAAAAAAAGGAGTAAAAAAAAAAAAAAAAAGGTTCTCAGTGCCTATTGAGTTCTGTCATTTGAAATAATTTGGTGCAGAAAGCATTCTAAAGTACTGAGTGGTTGTGATATAAAAGAAAAAGTTGCTCAGAAACTATAAAAAATAATGAAAAACATATCCAGTGTAGTTTAATGACTCTACTATGTGAGAATAAAAAAACTCATGGAAGGCAAAATGCAAAATTGCTACTGCCTGAGGTATGCATATTGTCTGAACTAAAGCCTTGACATTCAGTGTTTTCTAAGTGTTGAGACTTACATATGTAAGTTAGGATGTTTCAGGAACAGAGTAATTGCAGATGCACCTGTGTTTTCTGACAGTCCTTTTTGAAACTAACTGCCACTTCAATTTAGGAAAATCTGCTCAGCTCCTCCTTTTGTTGCCTTTGGAGTATTTGGAGCTGCAGATGTCACAGATTCTTTTAAGTTGGACTCTGCTCCTCTGGGATACTGTCAAACAGTAGCAAAGAAGGAATAGGGAGATATTCTGGCTCTGGGATATGAAAGATGACAATATCAAGACAGAAGGAAATTCATCTGTCTAAGAAACCAGGAATAAATCCATTTGTGCATTGAAATGTTTTCTTTTCAAACGTTTTTTAAATTAAGCTCTGTATGACTTGCTTACTCATCTCCCACAAGATGACTTACAGATTTGCAGATGTACATTCTGTAAAATTTTGCACACAATGGCTAGAATCCCAGATCCCTCAAGATTTCTGCAAACAAGTGTTTCTTCATTTTTCTGACTCTCAGTGACTGCTTATGTCTCTGAAATTTGAGTGAACACTGACAGTTATATGGAAAAAACACTGCAAAATGGAATGGAGTAATTTTTATTTCCCTTTGCAAAATGTAAACTCTAGTGAGTAAACCAAGCTTAGTGTCAGCCTCTTTTGGTGCTCCTATTTCCCCTAGTTTAATGTGCTTTTCTTAATTTACACAGATTTGGATAAAAGTGCTTGCTGATGTTGTTTTTTTTTTCAATTTGGACCAATTTCACTTGGTTGCCAGGATGACATAGGATGGCTTAATTTTGTTTTGAAAGCTTGTATAGTTTCTTTAGAAACAATTTTTTGTGCAAAGGACTGGAAAAAAAAAACACAAAACACCAGCATTCTCCTAAACGTTTGGATTTCGTTTAGCATTACATCTGCAAGTAAGTGTTTTATTTTGATAATTATGTGGAGATATATTAAAGATCAAGTTTAAACAATTTTTTTGTAAATAGGAAACAAGTACCCAAACCTTAAAGTACTTGAAAAGCAGATGTTTTCTTTCTAAATACACATACAAGCATTTAATTGACTTGAAAATGAAAGAAGTTATAATGTCTGTATATTACGTTTTGATTGCTTGCATTTACTAAATGTCATAATAAATCTGTTTGAAGACTGCAGAGTAATTAGAAAAAGTGATGGTGATTTTGAGGAAATGCTGACAGAAACAAGCAATAGTAAAAGAATTAGTATTTCAAAGCCAAACTTAAATACTACATTACAAAATGATAGAAATGTCTAGACTCAGTCGAGAGATTGTCTTGTTTTTCTCATCTGCTCATTAATTGTTTTAAGGTGGATATTATCATGTGGCCAGGCTGTTCTGTGTTCACCATAAGCTACCTTTTTACAAGCATCTCTAGAGAGATCTGTGGTATTTCTTGAATACTGAAAATACTGAATTTTTTTTTTTTTTTTTGACAAGCTCTCTCAGAACCTCGAGTTGATTTTCTTTTTTGCTTGAATTGTAGTTATGTACCAGCTTGAAGCCTTCGTTGAACCGTAACCAAAAATATTTCCTACTATTGATTCCTCATGAACTTAATTAACTCAATGTTTCTTACCTGAAAAGTGTTCAACACAGATGTTCTCCATACAGAGGAGTGTGTTGAGCAGTGTCTTGTGTTTCCCCTGTATGTCCCTGATGTGACTAATCCATACCTGCAGGACAGGCAGTCATTTCTGCACTATTAGTATTTAGTAGCTTGTGGCACTGATAGGAATGGGAGGGTGGTTGGACTGGATGATCTTGCAGGTCGTTTCCAACCTTGTGATTCTGTGATTCTATGGCTGTATGAATTTTGTTGCTGCTACAGAGGTGCTGATGTGAAGGTACTATCCCATTTACCTAAGGTCTGGTATGGCTACACTGCCTCTAATGGAAGGGAGTTGCCCATTTCTTTGGTTTCAGACTAATGGAAATTCAGTCGCATCTAAAACAAGACTAAAAAACTCACCTTACTGGTGGAAGTACAGAATTTTGTGGTCGTTTTCAGTGCTTGGTGATTGAGAGTCAGAACTAAACTGAGATTCAAAATTTGTCATCTGTTTCTTGCAATTGAGTTCACCAGTACAGAAAA